TGTCGGTGGAGTTCCTGCCCTTGGCCTTGGTTCCAGTCTCTTGCGCTTAGCGTTAGAAAGAGGTGCCTCCGCTATTTGAAGAATTTCGTTTGCATCTTTTGACTAGACCTTTTCTGCATTTCTCTCTCCTACCTGTAAAAAATTTAATGGTGCTTAGCAAAACATAGGTGTTGACAAGTACGCATACCGGTATTTTTCTTATTTAGCTTTGGTTAATTACAGGTGTGTTTAGGATGAGATGAGTTGGGTTAGATGAGAAAAATGTGTAATATGGTGATCAGGGAAAAGTTGACATCTTCTGAGATAGGAGTCATTGTAGTCATCCCGTTAACTTGAAATCGAATCATCACATCTTGTCGATGACCCTTTTTTATAGTTGACGAGTATTGAGAGTTATGTTTTTCAACTTTAAGCTACATAGGACACCACATTTTTCTCCATAAATACTCATCGCTTTAATCACTTTGGAATCTTATTTCGAATAGGTCGTTCTCATTAACCATATATTAAAGTTTACATTAAACTCGTCAATCATATGCAAAACAAAAATCATGTGTTTCAAATACAAGGCAACAGAAGGCACTTGGCCTTGGCCTTGGCCATTGATTGAAATTACTTTTTTGCCCTCCCTGTAAGAGAGAGAGGGGAGCAGAATGTTTTATATCCCTTCAGATACAACAAGGGCTAGGGTCGGATTTAAGAGATTCCTTAAATTAAAAGCCCACCATCCTTAAAAATATTCTAACTTTTAATAATTAATGGTGTTTTTTTTTTCTAAAAACAAAAAGGTTAAAACATCATTTTAGTTCCCAAAATTATGGTTTGATTTGGTCCCTATATTTTCAAATGGATAACAATTTAGTAATTTTAGTAGGTAAGAATTTAGTTCATATAATTTAAAATCAGTAACAATCTAGTTTTTATTACGAAAAATTTCATCAAAATTAAGCGTCAATTTTTATTATGTAATGATTTAGTTTTCATAGTTTATTAATACATTCATTCTCTTCTCAATTTATGGATCTATATTTTAAAAAGTTATATTAAATTTTAATAACATTTTTACGATAGAGTTTAAATCGGTTACAATTTTAAACTACATGAACTTAATTGTTATAGTACAAAACTCAATTGTTATAAATTTGGAAGTATAAAGATTAAATTATTATAAATTAAAATTTAGGGACTAAACTATTAAAACAAAGTATATAGACCAAAGGTATCCAAAATAATTCATACTTTTCTTGACTGTCACTGGAAAAGGATTAAACAAAGAAACTTTCGGAGTTGTTGCCACCAATCACATAATAGAATATTATAAAATCAATTTATTTATTTGTTTGTTTGTAACCTTTTACTCTTTTTTCACATGATCCAAGTTGGGTGGTGGGAAAAAGAAAAATAAAAAATTGTTTTTCCTGCCTACCAGAAAATGGCTGCTCATCTTTGAATCTCACCGATCAAAGACGATTAATTTTTACTCCTTATTTTATTTGCAATTATTTTTCCATTTTTATAGCTAAATTAATTTCGAATTTTTTTAAAATAAAATTTGTTGATGCGTGGATTGCGACCTTCCGGTTCTCCTTCCCTCACACAACGAACTCGATGATTAAGGGAACGAATACCTGCAAAACAAATCCGATCTAAACTGGTGCGACCTTCGTCACACGGGCTCCGATGCTTAAGTCAGCAAGGAGAGTAGAGAAATAGTCAGTTTCTAGTATGGAGACTGTCTTACCTACATAGCTATTTATAATTGCTACAAGGATCCCATCACAGCGTTCTAATTGTGCCCTAGCTCTATGTTGCCAAGACCCAACGACTGTTAATCAATAGAAGAGGGTCGATGTTGGGCTCGGCCCTGAACAGGGGTTTTTGACCTCTTGCCATTAGATCCGAGCGGAGGAAACCGCATTGTACCTTGGCCCGAAGGCCAACGTGAGAGGCTGATGCATCGGCGCCGTGATGGTCTTAGCGTCAGGTCGTCTTTTGGTGTGGGTTGGCCCTTTACGTTATGGGTCAGTCTCCCCTTGTCGATGATCTCGGCTTGATCTCTTGTCTCGTTTCGGGTTGTCTTTGTTCCCTATAACAATGACCTCCACTCTCAAAACAGAAGACGAATGATTGTATCAAGATCTTTGTTTTGAGAGTACTTGTCGCTTGTCGTCATCACGAGATCATCCTGTAAAATAGCGTAATTCATATGCATATCAATGGCTAATTATTTCAATGTTTCTAACTCACGGAGCTTTTACCCAAAAGCTTTTAGTCCAATTTTGGATTTTAGCTGCTTGGTTTCTGCTACTAGTTTTGTACCTTCAATTTGTCGATATTACCTCATGAATTGGAAGTTTTTCCAATTTTCGTTTTTCATAATCAAGTCTCTTAGGCACTACTATACGGTTAGTTTTTACTGTTAGATTTTGGCCTCGGGATTTAACTTCCAGCAAGGCCAGTGGCACTTCTTTGGATTTCTAACCTATTTGGCTCTTGCTAATGGTTTTATACCCTAAATTAATCAACATCCTTGGGTTTTTAACTATTTTGGTTTTCACCAAATGGTTTTCTATCCCTGGGTTTCATTGATTGATTAGGCTTGCCTACTTTTTGTCTTAACCCTACTAGACCTGTACGCATGCCTTTTTCAGCACCTTGTGATTATTTTCCTTGGCTTTTAGCTTATCGGCCTGCTTCTAAGTCTGTCACAATTTTGAGTTTCTTGATCGGTCGTAGATATGTAGATACCGTAGATATGTAGATTATTTACATATGATGTCCCCTACTTGAGAAATTTATTTTAGAATGAACATAAAAACTCAAGTATCATGTCAAAATGTCGGAGATTTTATTAGTAGGAAGACCGTCCCGTCGAAGATTTAGTTACAATAACTTTAGTTGGCCAAAATAATAGAGAAACATAAAATGTCTAGAACCAATGTGTCGAACTAGCGGTAGTATCTTTTGAGGTTCTGAGCGTGCCATGGATGTATTAAGGCCTTCCCCCCTTGGTCTTCCAAAGCATAACTGCCTGTTCGAACCACGTTAGTGACTTTGTATGGGCCATCCCATGTTGGCCCGAACGTCCTGCTAGTTGAATCTTTGGTATTAGGCATGATCTTTCTTAACACTATATCACCTTCTTTAAAGTCACGCTTCTCAACCTTCGAATTTTAGTATCGAGCTATTCGATTTTTGTATTCAGCCGTTTGCAGACGTGCTGTTTCTCGATGTTCTTCTAATAGGTCGAGGTTGAACTGCACGGACTTATTGTAATCAACTAGGCTGAACTACTCTACCCTTGGGGAGGGGAGACCAATCTCTACCAGCACTACCGCTTCAGAGCCAAATGACAGTGAAAATGACGTTTCTCTTGTCGAAGTACAAGGTGTTGTTCTGTAGGCCCACAATACGTTGGCAAGTTCTTCTGCCCACAACCCTTTAAGTTTTTCTAATCTGGTCTTCAAAGTTCTTTTGATGATTTTGTTGACTGCTTCAACCTGTCCATTGGCTTGCAGACGTGCTAGCAAAAAGGAACAAATGTGCTTAATGTCCAATTCCCTACAAAACTCTCGAAAGGTAGCATTGTCAAACTGCTTCCCATTATCACTGATAATGGTGTAGGGTATTCCAAAACGGTAAATTATGTTCTTCCAGATAAAGTCGGTGACCTTTTTCTCAGTAATTGTAGCTAGGGCTTTGGCTTCGGCCCATTTAGTAAAATAGTCGACTGCCACTACTGCAAAGTTGGTCTGACCCTTTCCTAGTGAGAGGGATCCTATAAGGTCTATTCCCCACTGAGCAAAGGGCCAAGGACTCATTATGCTTATTAGAGGCTCTGGTGATTGCCTAGGTACTGTTTCAAATCGTTGGCATTCGTCGCATTTTTTTGTGAATTGCTTCGTGTCATTTAGCATGGTCGGCCAGTAGTACCCTTGTCTAACTATTTTGTGACTTAGGGATCGTGCTCCAGAATGGTTCCCACAAACGCCCTCATGTATCTCTCTCATGACGTAGTCAGCTTCATCGGGAGTTAGACATTTTAAAAGTGGCAACGAATAGCCTCTTTTGTACAGATTGTCGTCTTTAAGAACATATTTGGTTGCTCATCGTTGTAGCTGTTGGGCCTCTATCTTTTCAGTAGGTAAGATTTCGTCTCTCAAATCTTGATCAAAGGGCTCATCCAGTTTTCTTCTGGTTGCCCTTGTTCGTCGATATCCATTGCTTCTTGAGCTTCTATGCTTGGCTCGAGCAGAATATCGACCAGTACAGTTCTTCCTAGGTCGGTTTCATAAGCTACAGCTAGTCAAGCTAACGCATCTGCGTTGACGTTTTAAGTACGTGGAATCTGTCGAATTTTATATTTTAAGAACTGGCCGAGCTGGTTTTTTACCTGAGAAAGGTATTTCGCCATTCACGGTTCTCTAGTCTGGAACTCCTCTTTCACCTGACCTACAATCAGCTGTGAATCACGGAGTACCAGTATATTCCTGACTCCAATGTATTTGGCCACTTTTAATCCTGCTAACAGAGCTTCATATTCGGCTTCATCGTATGATGCATGAAAACTGAACTGCAGTGCATATTCGAATTTCTCTCTATCTAGAGAGACCAGTAGAAGCCCTGCCCCGCATCCTCGAAAATTTGAGGACTCATCTACGTAGAGTGTCCAGGATTGCTCTTCCTCAACTAATTGTGAGTTAATACTATATACCTGAGGCTCTGTTGGTGTTAACTCTACTATGAAGTCTGCCACAGCCTGCCCTTTTATGGCAGTTCTTGGCTTATAATGAATGTCGTACTCGCTGAGCTCCACTGCCCATTTTACCAGTTGTCCCGAAGTGTCTGGCCTTTGCAAAATCTGTCGTAAGGGAAAGTT